CCCCAGCCAAAAACTGCAAAAAAAAAAAAAAAAAAAAAAAGCTTCAGCAATCTGCATTTGGCTGATGTGTCCTCATGGTATCTTAACTTATCCTCTATCATTTGTATTTCCTTTAAACTGGCTGATATAGAAGCTTAAGAAACACATTCAATTTTTTTATTTAGGCAAATAAAATAGACACAGGGCTGATGCTATACTGCCCACAGCAGCGGAGCAGGGGCACATAACTCTGAGATGTTACACCTGGTCAGCTGTTGAGATGGGGACTCTTAACTAACTCCTTAGAAACTTCCCCATTACCTTTCCTGCAAGGATTTCACATCTACTGATGCTCACGGCTTATAACCATAATTTTATTAGAGGTTACAAAATATTGATTTCTATAATTTCAGCATTCCATTGGCAGTTGTAATAAGCTGGATTCTCCTATGAAAAACTTTTATCAACTATTCAGTTACTCTAAAATACAGTTCATATAAGAAAGGCAGGATAAATGTTTGATTTTCTTTATAAATTTTTATATTAGTAAGTTTGTGCTTAAGAACCTCCAATGGAGAGCAAAACAAAAGCTTTTCTCATTGTTTCAATCACACAAAGATTAATGGTAAACCAGAATATTCCCTCACATCTACCCATCTAATCTAACACTATGCCACAACTCCTCCAATCTTGGATTACTAACCACAATCCAACAATTGCGACTTGGATTATAGAAGGAAAATGACAACTTTGTCATTTTCTTCACATTATTCCTTAAGTTATTACCTTCTCAATGAATCCCACCCTGACCATTCCATTTAAACTGCTAACACCTCTTTACAGACCTGATGCACTTTTCCTTTATTTATTATCCCCCATACATTTTTTTTTTTGAGACAAAGTCTTACTTTTTCACCCTAGTAGACTGCCATAGTGTTGTAGCTCACAGCAACCTCAAACTCTTGGGCTGAACCATCTGCTTACCCCAGTTTTTCATTTCTAGTATGGATGAGGGTCTCACTCTTGCTCAGGCTGGCCTTGAACTCCTGAGCTCAAGCGATCCACCCATCTTGGCTTCCCATAGTGCTAAGATTACAGGCATGAGCCACCAGACTTGCCCGCCTTCATTTTTCTAACATCTTCTATAATTTAGTCATTGTAATTATTGTTCATTGTCCTCTTCCCGCCAGAATATAAAATCCGTGAAGGCAGAGATTATTTTTTTCTGTTTTATTCACTGAGCTATCTTCAGCACTTAGAATGGTGCTCAGAAGATATTGGTTAAATAAATAAGTGAATATTCACCACTTTATTTTTTATTTTTTTGAGACAGTCTCTATGTCACCCTTGGTAGAGTGCCATGGCGTCATAGTTCACAGCAACCTCAAACTCTTGGGCTTAAGTGATTCTTTTGCCTTAGCCTGCCAAATAGCTGGGACTATAGGTGCCCACTAGAAAACCTGGCTATGTTCTTGTTGTAGTTGTCATTGTTATTCTGGCAGGCCCTGGCCAGGTTCGAACCCATGAGCCCCGGTGTATGTGGCCAGTGCCCTAACGACTGAGCTACAGGGGCTGAGCTTATTCACCACTTTATTAAAGAAAAATTTTAATAAACTCTATTTAGACAAATGATTGGTCAATTTATTTGGTACTAGGAAACCTAAGAATACATTCTATTTTAAGACCTGAATATATATTTTCAGGAAAGATTATCAAACATGAGTGAAGTCTTATATCTTCTTTACTTCCCTGATATGAACTATTATTCTTTTTTTCTAATAAAACAATTGCCATTTGCAATAGTGATGACTATACAATAGTATTTCAGCAATAGTTTTCTTGTGAAATGTTTTAAAATGTCGCAAAAGATGGGCAACAGCTCAAATTTAAAAGCAAGCATACTTGTGTTAAAACACTTAAGCTTTAAATTTCGTTCAAAGCAGCAATTCTCTGTGGTCCGGAAACATCTTTGAGGGGGTCCCCCCAAAACTCATAGGGTCCCAACTCTTTCTCTAAACTACTAAGACATTATTTGCCTTTTTTACTGTGTTAACTGATATTTGTACTGTTAGTGCAAAATAAACAATGGATAAAAGTCCTGATGCTTTCACTGACCAGGTACCAAACTGAACTAGTCATCTTCATAATTTTACTGCCATGTACTTATAGTAAAAAAATGCCATTTCACTTAAGTATGTCCCTAATGGAGTAAACATTATTAATTTTATCAAAGCCCAACTCCTGAGTCTTATCTTTTTAGTAGTCTGTGGGATAAATAGAAAATACATACAAAGCACTTCTGCTGCATACTGATGTATAAAGTTTATCTCGAGGAAAAGCATTTAATATTTTAAGTTGTGAGTTAACGTGCCACTTTTTACCTAGAATACAATTTTTTTTTTTTTAGACAGA